TTTTATCAAATTTAGAGATAGGGTGCAATTTTAGACCAAGGTTAGGGTTAGGTATAAAGGTCCAAATCTTTGTTAGGGTTAGGTTTTTGGGGTCCTGAACATGTGTTAGCTAGTATTTAGTATCCCCGGCGATATCGCCACTGGCGATAAATAGCAATATTCTTATCTAAAAATTATTTGATAAATTATTCGAATAATTTATATTTATTCGAATAAAAATTATTATTCGAATATTTGAATTGTTTGACAAATATTATTCATTCGGCGAATATTCGAATAGAAGTTTGCTGATCTAAATTATTCGAATATTATTTGAATAAAGAATTAGTAAGCTTTACACACACGTGTTAAACTACCAGGGTGTATTATAAAATGATGCACGCGTTTTATTATCAATAGAATTTGACATTAAAACATTATTCTCGGTTCTTTAACTCATGTGTTAAATCACCAGAGTGTATACGCACTTTATTATTAATAGAATTTGACGTTAAAGTATTACCGTATTTTCCCCAAAATAAGCTAGCTACCCTTTTTTGGCAGAAAAATTACACGAAAATTTTGCGGGTAGCTTATTTTACCTACGTCTAAATTGTAAAAAAATTAAAATATCTCGATGAATACTTGTTCAAATTACATGAACCTTTCAGGATATATGTATTTTGATCTCTTGAACAACTTTATTTAGAACCAAAGTTGGTTTACTTAGTAAAATTTTGACCTTTATATGTAGTAACGATTTGCGATTTTTTTAAAATTTTTTTAAAAAAACGAGGTATCTTATTTTAGGGGGGAGCTTGTTATGGGAAAATACGGTATTTCTTTGTTCTTTCACTCACGTGTTAAACTACTAGGACAAGTATTTATTCATTCATGTGCATATTACCAGGTCGTAAGTATAGTGAATTTATTCATAAATGAGTGTCGCTAAAAGAAACACCGAAAATTTAAATATAAGTCATATTTAAATTTTCGGGTTTTCTTTTAGCGACACTCAAATATAATATATATTATTTTTGGAGATCGTCTAAGGCCAGTAATATTTATATCCATTATATTTATCAACTTAAAAATGAGTACCATATTCATGACGTTCCCATAATTAAACCTTGATATTTACATTAATGCAAAATAGAAATGATACTTTAAACTTTTGCGGCAAAAACCTCTAATTCATAACAAAGTTGGTTTCCATAGCAAATTTGTGTTAGTACGATTTTATTAATACTGTACTTCGAAATTTATATATATTATACATTGGGTAGAAATTACGGGGACTACCATAGCTGTGCCATGACTGTTACAATCTTATATGAGTTATACAGGGAAAACCTGTAAATAATAATACTATGGTAAACTTAACTATGGGAGAATGACTATAAGTAACGCGTGATATATAAATGCCCAAATATCTTACCCAAATCCACTGTCACGTGATGGCTGACAAAATTTTTTAAGTTATATTACACGAACTCGGGATTTGCTATTGCTATTGGCTGATTTCTATCGATCAACACGTGATTGTGAAAATTTAATTAATGTTTGGTTGGCGCACCAGGGGTAGTTATGACCAAATTACGATCGTATATGTGATTTAATACGTAGTATTACAATTCTCCCAGGGTTTAAGTTCGTCATAGTGATAATACAGGTTTCTCTGTACAGCATTCATATCTGGATGAAACGATCCTCTTATCATCAACAGAATTCTTTATTAACATTACTTTGTACATTTGCTCACATGTTAATATTAGTGTTTTTTTTTTTATATTATTCTATGCCCAAATATTTTACATTATTTATCCTGATAAAATAGCCAATCAATTTTTTACTTTGTTAAAGCGTGCGTATTTATACTAATCCTATCTTTAATACTGACGAAAATACTGACGAGGACGAGGTGGATACTGATAAAAATAAGGCTATTACTGGTAAAGTGGTTTATAAATATTTTCTGGCTACATCAACAGCAATAACGCAGTATCTTCTGTGCAACATGCTTGATGAAATCAAAAGAAGAGAGGATAAATTTAATAAAGATGAAACCAAAAGAGAAGAAAAATAAAAAGAGCAAATGAAGGTGAAGGATGATGAAAATCTATGTTTGGTTTCCATTATTAAATACTGTAGTTATTTTATAGAAATTTAATATTCAATATTTTTTCTCTAGCTTGACCTTGTATGAAAATATAAATTACTATAATAAATCTATTATGAAAGCAATGATAGCAAATTTTGAAACTAGAGAACTAAATTGTGCTGGTGAAGTTGGTGACTATCTAAAATCTGATTGGCTATTACACTTAATAGCCAATCAGATTTAGATAGTCACTAGTTTCACTAGCACAATTTAGTTTTACCAGCAACTTTATTTGAAACACTTTAAATAAAAGAAGCTAATAATATTATATAATATGTATAAGTTATTTATAGAAGTCAATTCATTAATAAAATGGGTAAAATAAATTTGAAAGAAATTTTTTGTATAAAACTTAATTGATCATATACATGATTAATGTAAATCAATAATATTTATTTCACAACTCTTTTTGACGATCTCGGTCAATAACAAAATAGCTGAACTACAGTAAATAATATAGAAAGAGACTAAGTAAACACAACAATATTTTTGGTTTGGCAAAAGCAAACTTATTGTTGATGAAGCCTACAATATGTAAAACACTGAAAAGTAGGTGTATAAGAATATTAGGTGGGTTTAAACCTTGGGTTAAGTTTTTTTTCTGGTGAACTTCCTAGCACATTTGCATTCAAACCAGAAGATTTATTCTGAGAACAAGTAAAGTAAGAGTCTCTAGGCAAAAATATCAAGTAGATACTAGAAACTGGATTATGCAATTATAAAACTTACAAGAAGAACTTTACATTTTCTTGTTAACTTACATTTTTTTTTCAGAAAAAATTTTGTAAAAAAGTAGGTAATTTAGCTTATCTTCTTCAAAAGATTGATATATTTTTACTTACCAAATCAGTCAGCATTATTTACTTTTTATCTGTTACAACAAATACGTAAATATATATAAAACTAGATATATAGAAGACATACTTCAAAAGTAGTAACTTGGACAAACAATGTTCCAAGACCAACAGTACAAATTTTTGATCTTTTCAACCTCTCCATGGTGCTGATGTCAAAGAAGCTATTTTTTTTTTTATCTTGTTGCAGGGTTTTTTCTTATTTTAGATATACTATATATATAGATTAAAGTAAAAACTAGTTTAAATAGTAGTATGTAATTTTTATAGAGTTCAATATAGGCTTATAATTGTAACTGTCTAATGCAGATGAAAAATCTTGTATTTAGTCTAGTTTTTTTATTTTCTCCTTATCCTAGCTTATATTTTTTAACATATTTTTCTGTACCTCTGTATTTCTTTAAAAATTTTTTCTTTTTCTTTTACTTCCTTATAAAAAGATATTATCAGATTAGCAATATCCTATTGTAAAGCAGTAGTCAGACAAGCTCTTCGGTTAAAGTATTATTTTAATTGATCATATCTCACCAATGCGATGGGTTGTCTATAGGCACTCAGATAGCCTTTGATTATATTGAAGTTATATATGCTGACAAAATTATTTTAGGTTTTAGGGTACGAAATTAAAATTTAAAGACGAAATCATTTTTAACCTATTTTACTTAAAAGATGAAATTTTTTGATACTTTTTTTGAAGAGATGAAATTATAAGGAATATAACTATCTAAGTTAGATTTACTATTGCATATAAAAAATTTCAAATTGCTCTAATGGAGACGAAATAGGGTTTTTTAAAACCTATTTTGGTGGCATGTATAGTTGAAGTAGCTATAGAAGTTAGGATTATAATTTTATTGTTTTAAATCTTCTATAAGATGATGACTTAAATAAACGGAGTTATTGACACAATTTTGTCTAAGTAAAAAAAATTAATATAAATCAAAGCCCAATATCAGATATAGAAAAAAGAAATATCATAATCAAATTTAATATAAATAAAAATATAGGCATCACTATCAGTGTAAATACTTCTAGTTCTATCACAAAATCCTAGCATCCAAACTCTCAAAACCCATAATTTTTATATAACAATTAATTTTTAAAGATTAGTAATTATATTAATAATAATTATTAGGCTTTAAATTTTTAATTGTCATATCACATAATGTTAGTATTATAGATTGACAAGATTTTGGAAGTCAGAATTTCATGATAGAACCTAGTCTAACTTCTTTATAATCACATCTCTTAGGATAAAAATTTGTATAATTGTAAAGAGAATTTTACTAAGATGTACTTATAAAAAGATTTTCTATATATTTATAATAGTTGGTTTTAAAATAAATATGCTTATAAATGAGAACGCAAATCACTAACTCTTCCTGACGATCACTTGTACCAAGTTTTCTCTAAAAACAATTGCACTTTTCTCAATATTT